AGAGCTAAGACATACCCATCAATGGAACTCCCCAACTGGGCCACTCTCCCTAACTAATCCCACTTCCCACAGTCCCACCATCTCCCAATAGTCTATTCAAATTCTGATCCACAATCAACAGATTAAACCATGGAACAAGCCAGAGTCTTCACCGTCTAACCGTTCCTAGACGTGCCATCTCAGACAGGACCAGACGTGTACCTGCCTGTTTACCTAGGCACATCTGTATCTAATCAGGTTGACAATGAAGGTTGTAATTCCCAGTGCCTTTGGTTAGTGGCTTTTATTTGTCCAGTGCTGGAGACTGAACCGAGGGCCTCACGCACATCAGAAAAGTCTCTACCAACAAGAACTTTATCCCCAGGCCCAGGGGTTTCTTTAAAGCAACTGATCCAATATCACACAATTATGCAATTGGCTTCAATGCCCATTAGGGGATCTTCTTCGGTTCCTGGTCCGTAACATTATCATAGGTCACATTTGACACTAGTCCACTTAGATATGGGGACCACAGCTTGCTGCTGATCACGCCTTTCTTTCTATATTATACCATTTATTGCGTGTAGCACTGCCACATGCTAGGCTTCACCTGACTTTCTCCTGACGTGGGAAGTGATCAGATAACTCATGTTATATGGTCGTGGTGATTGGCTCAGAATTGAGCATGTGGTTCAATCAGGACCAAACAGAATTGCTTGTGACATTCACATATGAACTTTGACAGGAAAGGTCCCTTGTCTTTGGGTCAAAATCTGAATGACTACAAACCAGAAGCTGTGAACAGACCTCCTCCCACCATGCATAGGGAGGACTAGCTCCAGTGAAGTGACAGTCAGTGTTACAGAAAGGAAAAAAAAAAATGCTGGACCCACCGTGTCTGAAATCAGCAAGATACTCCCACAAAGACTTCATTTATAAGTTAGCAAATCATCTTTGTTTTTCAGCACAGATTAAGATGGTTTTGTTACTTACAACAGAAAGAATTCTAATATATATTTAACAGTTTGGGGTCTATAATTCTAATATATGTATATATTATATGAAATATATGTATAAATCTGTTTTTTTTCATTACTACAATACCAAAGGCAGGCTACTTTATAAAGTTAAAGAAGTTTGTTTGGCTTATGGTTCTAGGAGGTGAGGTCTAGGCCCATATCTGGGAAAGGCCTTCTTGCTGGCTGAAAAGTTGCAAGAGTCACAAAAGCAAGAGAGAGAGGGAGTGTGTCTCTTCCTCTCATTATAAAGTCATCAGGTTTCAATCACAAGTTTTCATCCTGGTGATCGTTTCTAATCCTGACCCTTTCCCAGAGGTCCCACCTCCCAGCACAGGGTTGGCTTAATGTCCTTACCATAAGACTCTGAGGGTTAAACTCCTTGTAAGAGTTTGAAGCAACTAATCACCTGTAAGCCGTGACAAGGGCGAATGTTTCTCTAAAAGGATTAGAGGTCTGTTCGGTTTTAAAATAACTTGTCTCTTTGTTCCCTGAATTGCTACGAAGCTTTACATTTTTGTATCACGACACGAAGTGACAGAGGACCCACCCAAAGAGAGTTTAAGAAAGACTGAGTTATCACAGATGCATCTTGCTTTGCAAAAGAAGAGCTAAGTCTGTGAACTTTGGACGCCCTTTATAGATGTTACCAAGAAAGATAAATGGAAAAGCCAAGTTTAGGCAGAGTAGGGTATTTAACATAATCTTGCTCTTTTAAATACTTCAAAGACGAAGCAATAGTAAGATACAAATAATAGGATATAAATCTTTTTTCTTGTCTAGGTTCATAGGGCAAAAATATCAATAGAGATTTCAAAGTCATATCTGTTTTTGAAAATAAAGTTTCTTACCATGTTGTTTCTTTCTTTCTTTCTTCCTTTCTTTCTTTCTTTCTTTCTTTCTTTTTTTTGAAACAACACAACCCATCTGAATTATGTTCTAGCGGGCTTCTAGCCAGTGCAGTCTCACGGGATTCCCTATATTTGGAAGGAAGAAAAGCTTCCCAGCCAGGTCCAAGAAGAGGGTCTGAGCCCCAACTTCACGCCTGGAGCAGATCCCCTTGCCTCTTGGCCCAGGATCCCGAGCCTTTATTTAACAAGAATAAACAGAATAAACAGTGTCCAAGGTTCTTATTCCTTTTTGTTTTTCCTTTGTTAGCTTATATTTTTTAACTATCTGTTTTTTTTAACGTGATGCATTTAAAATTTTTTGCTTGTAAACAAGTTTGATGCATCGAAATGTTCCATGATAAATTATTTTATGTTTCAGGTTTAGTAAGTCACCAAAATGCAACAAAAAGGTCAAAAACAGCCATTAAGCAGGTACCCAAAGTCCCACCTGACCCATTCTTTATTACAGGGATCCTTGATCTTTTTGTGTATATCCATCCACACCCCCACAACATTTCCCTTTATGGGAATCAGAATGCAACATAAGGAGAAAACCCAGAGTAACTAAACAGTCCAGGAAAGTATGCAGGAAGGTCATGTGTGCTCAGAGCTGGAGATGCAGCACACAGGCAGGGGGGTGGGGTCAGACACAGGTGGAGTTCTCTTTTCACAGAGCAGTGATAGCTTTGGCTAAACGCCACCTCAGATACATTTGGTCCATGCATCCATGGGTGAATAAAACTACTCAAAATCCAAAATATTCAGGGTGGGGAAAGCCTGCATCTACTGAGCATGTAGCTGTTTTCTTTGTCATTCGCCCCACTGCAGGCTTTAGGAGACCACACAGCATTATCGCTGAAACAGATGCTAACAGCAATCTAGGGATGCTTTAGAAGGCCCAGGGGGCTGTGTGCAGGTTACATAAATACTAAACAATTTTATATGCGGACTTGAATTTTTGCCTGTTTTAGCAAGGTTCTGGAACCTTGTGAATACCGAGGGATGCCTGAATGAGAAAACAGATGTCTCCTTAAGTCCCCTTAGACTCTTTATTACTGCCCCTCCCCTCAAAGATGCTGCATTTAACCTACGAGGTCTTCCAGCTCCGATTCTGTTAGGCCAGTAGGTGTTCCCAACACACACAGCTGACACATAACCAAACACATGTATGTTTTCAGCCAATACTCAAATGGCCTTTGTAGCTTCCCTTCTACTCCCCCACACCCCAGTGTTGCTTCTTTAGCTTTGGTCACAGATGGAGGTTAACATATAGATTCAAAACATTTAGACTACTTAGTCGCAAAATCCTGGCTCTAATCTCTCTCCTCTGGTAATATCACAGCGATTGGTAGGGCTGTGTGACGAGGGGACTGTCCAGAGTTCCCAATGTCGGCGTGTTCTGAACTCCGTCCAAATTCTCTTAGGCCTGGTTAAATTCGTTTTGTCTTAAAGATCTCTTCCAAGAAAAGCGTCTCTTGCCAGAGCCTAGAATTCCCTTCCAGCCAATGAGAAGGATTTCACTAGCCCTGTTAGATGAACAGCTCTTTCTGATGAGAAGAGTCTGGGCAAGAGGGTGACACCGTGAGACAGAGTAATCCTTCTTGCACAATGGGTTTTGTGAAATCCCCAACACCTCTATACAAACGGTGAGTCAACAGCCATCACTTCCTGAACCTAGCTCCAAACTGGCTGCTTTTACCACATTTGAGAAGTTATGGTAAAATAGTCATAACATAAAGTTTACCACCCTAATCATTATTAAATGCATAGTTCAATGCATAAGTCTGGTTGTTTATCATTTGGGGGGGGGAGTATATGCGGCACAGAGATCAGAGGGCGTGTGGGAGGTGGTTCTCTACTTCCACATGTGGGCTCCAAGGATCAGATTATCAGGCTTGTTACCAGGCGTGGTGGCAAGTGCCTCTCTCCCCACTGTGCTCTCACCAGCTCTGGACCAGGTACATTTATATCATTGTGTAAGCATCACCACCGTGCATCTTCACAGCCCTTTCTGTCTTCAGAAGTGAAATTCTTTACCCAAGGAACAACTGACTGTCCCAAGCCTACTCCGCCCCTGCCCTTAGCAACCTCTATTTCTACTGCACTTCTAAGACATTCCTTTCAAATATCTCCGAAAAAGAGTATATTTTATCTGTCTATTCCATTAATCCGGGTTCATTAGAGAAATAAAAATCAACCTTGAGAGAAGCTTTTGCTACACACCGCAGTGAAGCCCCTGGGCTCACTCTCTCGTAGTCTCTGAACCTGCGTTATCCTAAGGTCTCTCCATGGCTGTGTAACTAGCACTGAGCTCCTCAGCCTTTACCTCAGTACATTGCCAGAGGAGGAGGAGCAAGTGCACTACAGATCTATACACTTGGAAAACAGGAAGCCTGGAAGTAGGGAGAGCCGGGTATGGTGGTGGATGTCTGGTCCCAGCACTCTGGAGGCTGAGGCGGGAGGATCACGGGTTCAGGGGCAGGCTGGGCTATAGAGCAAGCTCCTATCTCGAAAAAAATAAATAAGAGGAAGAGGTAGCTTTCATTAAGCCTGCTTCTGTCCCTGACCTCATCAGCCGACCTCTCCTCCTACATACCACTGTCTCCACAAAATGAGTCAGGAGCCTGCTGTGGTGATACACATTCTGGGCCTTAGGCCTGTCCCTGAAAAAAATGCACATAAGTTGCTTTCCTCTGTGCCTAGCACATTAAGACACAGTCATCAGGTAAAATTGGTCTTCTTAATTTCAAGGCACCAAGGCAAATACAGTAGGAGCATTATAGTCCATGACTGATTTCTGCAAAACTTTGGGTCAAATATATTCAAAGAAGGTCAGGCACTGTAAAACAAAGCCCGAGCACACATTTTGAATACTAATGGAGGTGGATAGTGTCCAGCCCCCAGCTGGGATGAGGGAGTGGCGGGGTCTGGCTTTCTCTGTGCTTCCTGTCCTCCCCTCAGGCAGAAGCCTGGGCCACTGCCACCAGCAATACTTCCCTTCTGCTCTGTGGTCAGCCAGAGACGTGAGGAAGGAGCTGGCTACAGGGCCAAGCCTGCTCTCGCAGCCCCACCCAAGCAGGAAGAAGCAGAACTCCGAGGGAGTGTGCGGGCACACCTCATTGGGTTGGTTCAGGTCCTGCAGGTGCAAGTCTTGAATGAGGTAATCCACGATGGGCAGGTTATTGTTCTGAGCTGCGAAGTGGAGCGCGTTCATTCCTTCCTGAAGAGAGCCAGGGTGAAGAAGTAAGTGCTTACCTCAGAACCCCAGAACTTCCACCCCAACACTGGTGGCATAAGCGCTCATGGCCCCCGTGGGACCCCAGAACTCCTGCCCCAGAACTGGCGAGGTGAGCGCTCACGCCACCCCCCTTCCCCGTGGAACCTGCACACCTACCTGGCTCTTGGCTCTCTGGTCTGCTCCAGCTTTAACTAGCATGAGCATGATCTCGAAGCTTCCAGACCAGGCTGCAAGGTGAACTACTGTCAAGCCATGCTTCCCCCAAGAAGAGAGAAGAGGAGAACCCATTAAGTAATGAGCTACCACATTCTGTCTCGGGCAACAAAAGCCTAGGTGGATACTAGAGTCCTGGAAAAATAAGAAATAAGTAATTTAATATGCAACAGAAGTGATATTGTAATCCTATAGGGGTCATGTAAGTAATACAGGCACATGTGGGTTTCCAGCTGAAGGAACTAAAATGAAATGTTGCCCTGCAGTGTACTAAAAATTAGAATGCATACAATAGCAGAAGCAACACAACCAAGGACTAGTTTTGAACTAGACTATAATGTGCACTCTCTTGATTTAGAATGATAAAAGGAAAAATAGAACATAAACCTTAAACAAATGATGCTTTCAATGCCTATTGCTAGTAAAGATAAATGGATCACTAATCTATGGAATCTTCTTACAAAGCGTCATCAACAACAAAAGACAAAGTACAGAAGAGCATGTGGGTAGACAGGGTTTCCTAGAGGACTAGATAGAATGAAAAGTGTCACTGTCTAAACTAACTGGCAGTTTCCACTTAAAATCGAAATATGCGCCAGGCAATGGTGGCACAAGTGTTTAACCCTAGCACTCTGGAGGCACAGACAGGGAGATCTCTGTGAGTTCGAGACCAGCCTGGTCTACGCAGATGTTACTTGGAGAAACACCATCTCCAAAAAAAACAAAAACCAAACCAAACCAAAAACAAGCAAAATACAAAGGAATGGGGTTCAAGATAGCTGAAAGGATGGTATGAGTTGTGCATATGTGTGCATAAAGTAGTCAGACTGAAAGATTCGTTTCAGAACTTCATGACCTGTAGAAAGAAATCTTTTTTTAAAAAAGACTTATTTATTTATACAGTATCCTGTCTGTAGGTCAGAAGAGGGCACCAGATCTCATTATAGGTGGTTGTGAGCCACCAGGTAGTTGCTGGGAATTGAACTCAGGACCTCTGGAAGAGCAGTCAATGCTCTTAAACACTGAGCCATCTCTCCAGCCCCAAGAAATCTTTTTTTGTTGTTGTTGTTGTTCTTGGAGACTGGATTTTTCTGTAGCTTTGGAGCATGTCCTGGAACTAGCTGTGGACCAGGCTGGCTTCAAACTCACAGAGATCCTCCTGCCTCTACCTCCCAAGTGCTGGGATTGAAGGCGTGTGCCACCACTGCCCACTGCCCGGCTATAGGCTAAATTCTTAAATCACTCACTGAACTTGCAGAGAGAAATGTGGAAGGAAGCCACAAGCAGCAGTTAACCCTGGCTGGGCCAGGGAGGAGTAGGGGGAAGGACCCATGGGTGGTCTTTAGGGGCAGTCAACACCAGCTCAGACTTGGCTGTCTTCCGCCACTGCCAGGTACAGTCGTATTTCTCAGCTTAGTTAGGCTCAGGTGCCGTCACATTCCAGACCATTTTGTTTTGCTTTGCTTTGTTTCTGAGACAGCTTCACTATAAAGAGCAGGCTGGCTTCAAGTGTGCCACATTCCTGCCTCAGCCTCCCAAATCCTGGGATCACGGATGTCCTCCAACCATGCCCAGCTGTCCTGTTCCTTACCGCTAAGGTCACACGTATTCTTTCCTGTTTCCCTTATCCCTTTCAAAAAACAACCCATGTCTTCTGCACAGCCTTCCCACAGCATCATCTATGCCTCAAATAACAATGACTTTGATCTGGTACACAGGCTTTTTATTTAGCTGAGCATATCCGAGTAAATAATGAAGAAATATGGTTGTGTAGACCTTTGTTATTCGAGCTGTGGATAAGCCCCCTTGGCATTTCTATGACTGCTCCAGGCACTGTTTTTAGAGAGTTTGGGTTGGAGTGAAATAGCAAGTCCCAGCTTATTACTGTGTAATTCTAAGCCAGTGCCTCTTGATGAGGGGCCAATTTGTTTCCAGGGGACCCCTAGAAATATCTTGGAGTATTTCTGATAGTCATGACTCAGGGATGATATTGGTACCCAAAAGGCAAAGGCCAGGCATGTTGCTGAGCCCTCCACAACAAACAAGGATGCCCCACAAAAGGAATGCTGATCCCAGACGACATGGTGTATTCCCAGTGTACGGAAATCTCAGTAGGTTCTACAGGCTTCCTTTTACAAGGAGCAATGGCCCATCATGATTCGTCGAGGTTCTCTGAGGAGCATTAGCCATGATTCTCCCTCTTCATTCAGGCTCCCCTGCTCTCGCTGCTCCATATTCAGTGTCTAAATCTGGCTGCAGATATTTGGGACAGGCTCAAATCACATAGTGATAAACCCTCTTTCCCCTAAGAGATCACTCCTAATTTTGAAGCGAACAGTCTTTATAAACTCCTAGCACTGACTGCAAAATCTAAATTCTGGGAATCAAAGCAGCAAGCAACTTGATTTCTGCAACCACAAATTTCTACTAGAGCCATCAGACCTTAGAGGCAATGAATCACCATGTATAGACGAATATCTCCCCAGAGCATCCTCCATGACACAAAGTAGACAAGCTTGAACCCATGACATGGGTGACACTGAGTTCACATGCTTTTCAAAGTATAAAATGCTGGGACATCACTGATAACCAGCCTGGTCCCCATAACCAGCCTGGTCATAGGTGAGGAACGTCACAGAAAAGCAGGTCTATCTCTGAGCTTTGTTTGTATCTGGGAGCTTTGTTCACCCTGAATTAAGACCCTCCTTTTATTTAGCTTGTCTCAAAGCTCACGGATGCCACCCACCTTCATCCTTAGTGGCTGAGCCATACATCTGACCCTGAGCCTCAATGCCTTGAATGGGACTCGTCTATTACAGCATTTCCCTTTGCTTCCCAGTTTGACAGCAGGGTTCTTAAGACCAGGACTGTCTCATGCCATACTCATTTCAAATATAATCATCTGGAATGTTTTCAAATCACGGATTTTGTTTATTTGGGATGAGTGTGTGTGTGTGTGTGTGTGTGTGTGTGTGTGTGTGTGTGTGTGTTCCATGTAGAGTCCGGAAATCTTCCTCAGTTGTTTTCCACCTTAGTTTTGCTATTTATTTATTTCTTTATTTATTGACAGAGTCTCACCATGCAGTCCTGTTATGTAGGGTAAACTTCCAGCTAAGGTAGAGCAAGTGTCCTCCTCTCTGTCTCTCCCACCAAAAGCCGCTAAACTCTCTGGATAAAATACAGCTATCAGAGGACTCTAGAAAATGAATGGAAATAGGCAGATGGGGCGGGTTACCCAAACTGAGAGTGTTGATGTTTTCACTGTTTTCTTAGAGACTCAAAGGCAGTTCCTGTCCTAGAACTGGACCTGGACAAAAAAAGACAGGAGGAAGACCCCGAGAAAGAGAAGGTGACAGAATCCATGCCTCATTGCTCTTTTCTGTCCATGACAATTTAGGGAACCTGGGATATGGTGTGTGTGCAGGAGGGGTTAATTGTGGACAAGAAGGAGCCCACGCATATACTCCTGACTGTGTCCTGAGCCATAACTGGACCGGCTCCTAACCCTGTGACGAACAGTTTGGGGAACTGAACTCTGGTGAAGACTATTGTCCAAGACTGGCCCTGGGGACAGATCTGAGCTGCATTACAAAACTTTTGGAAACTGGAGTGACATTATAAAAAACCTAGTCATCCTTGTGCGACAAAACCATCGCAAATCGTTTCTGCTCCGAACTAAAACCAACTTGAGATGGACTACTGCCTTAATCTGTTTTAAGAGGCTGTAACAAACTGTAATAACAGCCTGGTAATTAACGATGAGAAAAAAATAGGCTTGGCTCATGACTCTGGAGGCTTAGCGGTCCAAGCTGAAGAGACTTCCTTGGTGAATTGCATCATAACATGGAGTGGGGGGTCGCCTTATTAGGAACCCTCCCTGAGCAAACAACATTAATCTATTTATGAGGGTACTATGAACTATTAATCTCTTAAAGGTCTCCTCACTCAGTGCAGCGGCCCCAGATATCTGTCACATGAATTACAGGGGACATGTTAAAACCATAGCAACGCCAGAACTAAATGGAAACATAAGATTATAAAATATTTAGAAGAAAAATATGAAAAAATTGCCATGATTAGGCAAACCATCCCAACAGATATGCAATATCAGTATCAGGACTCATTTTTAAAAAGAGGAATATTAAGCCAGGCATGATGACGTATGCTTTTAATACCAGCACTCAAGAAGCAGAGGTAGGAGTATCTCTGGGTCAAGGCTAGCCTGGTCTACATAGTGCGTTCCAGGTCGGCCTGTGTCATATGATGAGACCCTGTCTTAAAACAAAATATACATCAAAATTTTTATTTCATCAAAGTGAAAAACTTCTGCTCTGTGAACACTGTGAAGACAGTCTGAAGAAATGAAAATAATACAAAATATGAACCTAACATTGGATCCGTTTCAGGGTTTATAGTGAACTCTCAAAACTTCACAATGAAAGGATAATTTAAAAGAAAATAAAAGAAAAATCAAACTCAGTTTTTAGAAATAGTCAAAAGATCTGGTTAGGGATACACATTGGTGGTAGAAGGTTCAGTTGATATGTGGAAAGCCCTGATTCCCATCTTCAACACACACACACACATACACACACACACACACACAAAATCTGAGCAGATGCCACTAAGGATGAGACATAAATGGTAACTAAAATTACCAGGTAAAAAGATATTTAACGTCATCCAAGTGGAGAAACACAATTCAAACCACAGTGAGATGCCTACATTCTGAGTAGAATGGCTAGAACCAAATGAGGAAACACCATCAACAGCAGGCGACCATGCAGTCCAAAGCAAAACTGACCTCCTGCTGGTGAGGATGAAAACAGCCCAGCCAGGTCTACAGCTCATGCCCAGTTACACACACACGCCTGTGGCCCAACTGTCTCTTATACCAAAGAGAGGAAAAGCTACGCCTTCAAAAACATGCAAGAATGTCCACGAGGCCTTACTTTGTGTTTGTGCATAAACACACACACACGGAGGTCCAGGGGGATTGTTGATGTTTTCGTGTACTGCTCTCCACATCATTCTTTTAAACAGGTCTCTCAGTGACCTGGAGCTCACCATTTTGGCTATGTTGGAGGACAGGGAGGCACAGGATCCACCCATCTTTGTGACTCCTGCACCTGGCACTGCTGTTGGGGGTGTGTGCAGCCACGCCTGGCTTCTTGTGTGGGTGCTGGGCATTAAAATTCAGGTTCCCATGATTGTGCAGTAGATACCATATCCACCGAGCCATCTCGCCAACACCAGTGACTTTACTCACAATAACAAACAGAGAGCCATCCTCACATCCTTCACGCGGTGAAGAGATAGACGAGGCCCCACCCATAAACAAAATATTGTTCAGTTTAAAAGGGGAAAGGATGTAGGTGAACATCAGCAGAGCTTTGCTGAGTGAAAGAATCGGCCTCAAATGTTTCATGCCATTTGTCACCACATAGGTGACGGTCTCAAGGGGGCAAAACTGCAGAGATCAGTGGCCGCTGAGGTGGGACAGGTTAGAATGCAGAGACAACAGAAAAATTGGGGTGGTGCATCTGTCCTGCTTGTTAAGTTTCGTTCGTTTTAGTGTTTGTTTTTTATTTGTTTATTTGGTTGTGTGTGTTTTTTCCTCTATTTTTTTTTTGATGGGGATGAATCCAGAGCCTTATGCATCCTAAACACACTACCACTAAGCTACACCCAAGGCCCTGCTCTACATTTTTAAAGTAGTCATGGTTATATAACACTGCATACCTGTCAAAAATCAGCACTATACTTTAAGAATAAAGCTAATCAGGCAATACGTTGGGATTAAAGTAAAGCACAAAGATACTGTACGAAGTTCTCAAAGACAAAATATAAATATATCTGGGTAATCATGCCTCTTGCCCATTTATCTTTTACACGCTAACTAATAGGCAAAATAACCAAACCAGAATTTACATACCTAAAAAACATGCCCCTTAATTGCCACAGTCATGATAAGAATGTGGTAGGCTAGTAAAACCAGCAATTTGGATGTCTGAGATTGTAAATTCAAGGCCTGCCTGGATTACACAGTGAGTTTAAGGCCAGTCTGAGACACTTAATGGTATCTTGCCTCAAAATGAAGTTGTTTTGTTTTTTGTTTGTTTTTGTTTTGTTGTTGTCCATCTGTTTAGTTTCTTAGGTTGGGCTTGCTCAGTGATGCGTGCTTACCTAACACATGCAAAGTCCTGGGTTCAGTCAGCAGTCATGCCCCTCACCTCAAAACCATGACTGTGTCACAATTAATCACACTCAGAGAGTGAGTGGGCAGCCGGTGGTAATTTTTATCTCTGGGTTATTACATAACAATCTACTGGCTCACCAGTGCCATGGCAATAATCGAGAGAGCTCCGTGCCTCACTGGTGATACAAAGGAAAATCCCAGCGCTATCAAACCTTCATGTTCTCTAGGATCGCCAGCGAAGCCCACGAGATGACTAACAGGTGTGAACAGAAGCCTCTTACTATTCAAATATTTGCTCCCAGGCCCTGGGAGAGGTGAAGAGAAAACAGTGTTGAGCCTGCCCTCCCAGGATGTGCAGGCTAGAGAACACAAAGACTGAGTGTCTCTAGATGGTGGAAAGTTGAGAACCATGGACTAGGGTCCCACAGCAAAAGAGGTGACCGGTTCCTCTGACGTCCACACAGGTGCCCGGGCACACACATGCCTGCACTCACCCACCACATGTGCACGCTGATTATAAATAAAAGTAATAATAAAAAAAAGGCACAACCTGTTATGATCTCAAGAGTTTTATAACAAGCAGAGCTGCCACTGTCTTCTGCCACAGAGATGGGAAGCATGATCTAGGGTCTTTCTGGCTAGCTTCCTTGTGCCATAAAGTACTGAATGGAGGTGGGAAAGTGGATGGAAAGTCCTTGAGGTGGGTTTTGCTCTCTTGACAGACAGACAGAAGCTGACTTGTGGCTAACAGCATAGTCTCTGAAACCTGAAAAGTTCAGTTCAAACCTCCCTTCCGTCCTTCCAAAATGTAACTTTGAGGGATGGGATCTATAACCTCTCAATATCCAAGTCTCCTTATCTGTAAAGTGAGTATTCTACTTTCCCGTAGGATTAGAAGGGCGATGGTGTTAAATACCCACCCTGATACCTGTGCCTGGCACGGAACATGTATTTGATAAGTTTATTTAGAATCAGAGTCCACAGGGCAAAGTCAAGATGTAAAGTCCCTGGAGCTAATTCGCATCTGTCTGTCATGAGTCTGACCACACTGTGGACAATCATACTACTTTTGTAGGTGAGAGCGAGGGTCGTAAGGTTGATATGGGAAAATGAGTAAAATCCAAAGTCTTAATGAGTGAACAGTTTAGTGACCAAGTACAAAGAGCACACAGCATGTGTCTTCTCTTAAGAGGCCATTTCAGTAATGCGGCCTGCTGATGGAAGTGTGTCCACGAGAGGAAGACACCTGCAGTCGTCCATTCTCCTGCCTGCATGTCACGCAGCAGTTCAGTCTACCCACTGGAGGTGAGCTTACCTTGTCGGCAACATCAACCCGGGCTTTGTGACTCAGTAAGAAATCCACTGCCGATAAATTACTCCTCGCCACCGCAAAGTGCAGGGCCGTGCGGTTCATCTGAGGAAAGAGAATTTGTATCTTTGGTTTTCTGGTCATCACTTAACCTTTTTAGCACCCCTGTCTCCTTTGTTCGTTTTGTTTTTTGCTTTGTTTATGAGACTGAGTCTGGCAGTGTCACCCAGGCTGGCTCTAACTTGTGATCCTCTGGTGCCCGCCTTCTGAATGCTGAGATCACAGGCTTGAACCACCATGTTCAGCTGGGTCTCCTGTCTCTCACATAGCCAGGAGTTTCATATGAACTCTCTGTATTCTGATTATTTGGTCACACTTTTTGTTTTTCCCTTTGGAAGGGGTAAGAACTGTGTACAGCAAAATCATACCCTAAGAGTTGTCAGAAGTCACCTGAGAATCTGGCCATCGACTGAAGGCCCCCCAGACCGATGACCTGTAGAACCTGCCATACAGTGATATTATAAAAGTCATCCACACAGTAAAAGCTGTATTTTTCCTCGTATGCAATCATTAATAGTGGCATTTTCCCCCTCACAATGTATGTTAGTCGATGTTCCATTTCTGTGACAAAATAACTGAGATGAGCAGTTCATAAAGAGGAAGCCATATTTTGGCTCAGAGTGTCGTAGTCTCAGTTGTAACTGGCAGGAAGGATGGAAAGGAGCAAAACTGCTCATCTCTAATTGGCCAGGAGAAGAGAGAGGGAGAGTCTGGTATACCAGAGACCCCTGCAAGCATAGACTCCAGGGACCTGTCCTTGTCTGCTAGGCCCCATCTCTTAAAGATCTCACAACTTCCACTGTGTGGCAACCAAGCCTTCGAGATGGCTTTTGGAGATACTTAGGATTTAAATCAAAATATTGATAATTCACAGCAAAATTTCCTAAATGTCTCAGTTTTCTCCTTTCTCTCTTCTATGCATTTTCTAAAGATTTTAAATCTTATGTGTATGAGTGTTTTGCTTGCATGAATATATAAACGACATGTGTGCCCAAGAGGCCAGAAGAGGATATAGGATGCCCTGGAACTGGAGTTACAATGATCGTGTACCACCATGTCGGGGATGGGAAATGAACTGAGTCCTTTGTAAGGGCAACAACTGCTCTTAATCTCCAGCATCCCTCTTCTATAATTAAAAGTCTGTCATTTGAACAGAAGCAAATAAATTGGTTTGGAAGGAAGTGAAGAAGGAAGGAGGGAGGGAGAGCAGAAGAAAAGGAAGGAAGGGAGGGAAGAAGAAAGAAAAAAGGAAAGGAGGAAGGAAGAGAAAGAAAGAAGAGAAGTCACAAGGTTAGAAGACGAGAAGAAGGAAAGAGGGACGGAGAGAGGGGGAAGTTAAAGGATGGGGGAGAGGAAGAGAAAGCAAGCTATTGAAATTTTCAAAGAAAAAGTCACATTTTGCTCCCAGGATGCCCACAGACAATTTACCTCTTTTCCCACAATGTACGTTTTGTTTATCAGAAATATTTATGCCACATTTGCCATATTCTAAGTTCCGTTTTAGTTCCCCCAAAAGATGCCTGGGCATGAACAGACTACTATTGTTTCACACAAGTAACGACAGAAACAAGAGAATGGTTTAAGATGAATATTTTCTTGCTTGTTAAACTGGTTATGTTTACAAAACACAAGTCATCTTGACATTATCTGCAACATAAAGTTTATTTTATCGAGTCAGCTTGGGGCTATAAGCTTCCCCATAAACTTTATTTGTTTAAGATTATAATAAGACCACTTGCACTTAAAAAATATGCATCATCACAGATTTTAAGGAACCCTGCAACTAACCATGACAAGTTGCTTTAAACAAGATTAAATAGCTGTCATTAGAAAGAATGTGTGTGCATGCACACGTGTGTGTGTGTGTGTGTGTGTGTGTGTGTGTGTGTGTGTGGTAGTTCAGTGGTAGGGCATTTGCCTCATATGTGTGAGGTCCTGGGCTTGGTCCCCAGGCTACAATCTAGGACCAAGCCCAGGTCCGTTAACTATGTTGGTGGGCTTTCCAGTCTGCCTATGGGCTTTGAGATATTCTAAAGACCCCATGCCTTCCATTTGTAGAATGAAGGAGAGAGGGAGAAGAAAAAAGACAGAGGGGGTTGACGCCCAAGGGTGTTCTCTGGCTTCCATACACATAGCCACCCACGTGAACACCTGCTCACACATGGATGTGAATGCATATCCATGAACACACACAAACAAACACACAGTTGTCTGGGGAATTAGATCAGTGGTAGCCTGCCTAGCATGTGCGAGACTATAGGTCAGACACCAGCAGTATAACTGCAGCTGCTTTGTGCAGAAAATTTGAAGTCGTTTTAAACTTGTAGAGGTTGTACTTCCTGCTAGTTAGAAAAATGTACTGCTGTTTTACTTACTCATAAAGGAATCCCTATGCTTAGAATAATTTTAAAGATAAATACTAGTGTTTTAGAAAACAACTATTTTCACAGCTTTTTCTTTTTCTTTTTTTCTTTTTAATCCTGCCTACTTCTTTTCTTTACTTTTCTTCTCCTTTTTAAAGTCCTAGCTGACCTGAAACTCACTATGTAGATCAGGTTGACCTCAAACTCACAGAGATGGGCATTGGGTTTCCTGGAATTGGATTACAGTGGGATATTGACACGTGAGTGTTTCCTCTGTAAATGCAGCCAATGCTCTCAACAGCTGAACCCTCTCTACAGTCCCAACCGGGTATTGTCTTTTCTTCCCTCCTCCTATCCTCTCTTCTTTTATTCATCATAGTTGGATGCTGCTCATTTGTTTCCTAGATGCCTAGACCCAAAATAAACACACTGAACTGTATTAATTGCAACACCACTTGGCCAGTGACTCTAGTGTATTCCTAGCTAGCTCTTACATCTTAAATTAACCCGTTTCTGTTAATCTGTGCATCGCCACATGGTGGTAGCTTACTGGTAAGGTTTCATCTGGTGTCCAACATCTGTCTCCTGTGGTTATATGGCTTCTCTTTTACTCTGCCTTCTTTCTCCTCATTTGCCTGCTTAGAATTCCCACCTTGTCCTATTCTGTGCTGCAATAGGCCCAAAGTAGCTTTATTCATTAATCGATGATATTCACAGTATACAGAGGGAATCCCACATCAATTTTCCTTCCCCATTTTTTGTTCCTAGAATTGTTATGCTATAAATTATTTTCTGACTTTTTATTTATGTGTGTATACATAGCCATATATACATGGCTATGTGAATAATATACGCATGTGTGCATATATTACATGCATATAATATAGAAATATGTGTATGAAACATATATGTGGTTGTGTGTATGTATCTGTATATATAATATGATATACATATGTGTACATATATCCATAATACATCAAAAATGCACAATGCACATAAATACAAGTGTATATATGGATACATAAATTCCCCTGAGTGCATGCCTCAGCACATACCCCATCACATGCATTCATGCACACATATGCAACTGCTGAAGATCATTCTTCTGCTGCATGTGCGGCATGACTTAGACTGTGCAGTTGTTTCTGTGACTTTCCTGCCTGCAATAGCTACATATTTTGAGAAACCTGAGATCAGACTATTAGGAACCCTTCTGTGGGTGCAGCAGGGTTAGAGTTGTGAAAGCGTGTTTGTAGGTTAGAAGTCAGCCCAGATGTTGATTTTCAGGAGCCATCTTTCTTTGTGTTTGAGACATTCTTTCAGTGGGACCTGAGGCTTGCCAATCAAGCTACACTGGCTAGCCAGGGAGCTGCAGTCTCCACGTCCTCGGCACTGGGATATAAACATGTGCCACCCTTTTTCTCTGGGTGTTAGGACTGGATCTTTATGATGTGTGACCAGCACTTTATTGACAGAGCTATTTCCCTAAAGCCAAAATTAGAGAGATACAATTTGTTGCAGCTACAATGTCTTCTTAGGTCTTATGAAGATCATACAGTCATGGGTAACATAGCTAGAGCCCTCCCAATGCCTTGGAAGGGGCCTGAGCAAGCAGGGCCTCTGAGACTTAGGCTTTATTTAGCATTAAACCCACCTCTATGTTCTGACTTCAAAGCACCCTACAGTTCACCCTAAGAAAGTCTTACCTGTTAACCCTCTCATGCTGATAAACCCTGCCTTGAAGAAACTCCCTACCAAGCCAAGCAACAGGAGATCCATGTTTCTGGCTGTGGAGTTCTCCCCCAAATCCTAGGTACTGGACGAACAAAAGCCAGATTTGTTGCCTGACATGTGGATGCTTCCTAATTCAAAAACAGTAAGATGAAACTCCACATCCTTCTTTGGCTTTTACATCTGGACAAACCCAACCATAGAGGACATCACAGAGAGAAAAGGGGCCCAGATGTTACAGCAAGTCATGCCCTAGTTTCCAGTATGGGGAAGACTGAACCGATTCATCCAGAGGATTCAATCAAGGGCCAAGTCCCGGCCCACAATCCCCACGGCGGACTTGCTTATCTCCTCACAGACTCTGTGCAATGTGCATAAGACTCTACACACTTCCCTCCCCTAAGTGAAAACTCCCTGAGCCTGCTCTGCTACGTCATTCCATCTTTAGTTCTAACACCCACATTAGAGCCCCCACATCTCAACCAGCCGAGTCTCTTCGATTGTTGCTATTATTTCAGCTGACCTATGTGCTCCCAAGCCACCACATGGACTCGTCACTTGTCATGTCTGTGACTTCTACTCACGGTGTTCACAGCATTAATGTTAACCTTCTTTTCAAACAGCTTCTCCATAAGAGCCAAATTATTGCTTTTCGCGGCGTTCTGAAAGCTTCTCTCAATTGGCAGTACTGAAAGAAAGAAGGAGAGCATGACCCAGAGGCGCAAAGGAGGCCACAGTCCTCTGTCAAGTTTGAGGTGACAGCCTCATACTCTGAAAAGCTGGAACTGCAACCTTGAGACTTTCCTGCTCGGCTACTGAGGACTCGGCATATTTGCTTAAATATTTTCCAAAACCAGAATACCACGATTCCATCTTCTCCTCATATTGCAAGTGTTTTCGTTTTCATACCCTCAAAGTGTCCCTGACCTCAAACAAAGCGTTGCTCAAGAAGGTCACCCTGAAGTAGTACAACCTGCTATCAGCTTAGCAGGTCAGAGGGCCACAGCAGAGCGACCTCCCAGGGGACCTCGTTTGTGAGACGTTAGTAGGGGATAAGACTGGGAAGAACGTGCTCCTTACAAAGTTAAGACTTCTTTCTATCCACAGAACTCAGATTCAGTGCCAGACCTGGAGGAACTAAACCTTTTAATGAGTCTACTGTAGAAACCCAGATAAAGGCTAAGAAGATTGACATGTTTTATTATCATTTATAAGAAAGGACATAAAATTGGATTCACACCTACTGTGACTGTGACATACCCCACTCCACCCCTCTCTCTCATACATACACGTGACAAGCTTTATTAACTAGCACAGGGAAGATTCAAGAGAGTCAGAGAGTTCTCAAGAGACAGTACAAATCATGGGGGATAAAATAAAAATCGAGGTTAAGAATTCAAAGCAGATGTTTGACAAAATATTTTGCACTGAATGAGAAGGAAAAGAACATGGTTGGAGAGATGGCTCAGCAGTTAAGAGCACTGACTGTTCCTGCCGAGGACGTGAGCTTGGTTTCCAGTACTCACATGGTGGCTCACAATCATCTGTAACTCCATTCCTAGGGGACTGGATACCCTCTTCTGACCTCCACAGGCACCAGGCTCACACATGGTACATACTCACACATGCAGGAAAATACATATACACATGAAATAAAAACAATGTTTTTTAAAGGGAGAAGAGAAAAAAAGTAAACAGAGGAAAAGTAGCAAGATAAATGAAATTTCAAACAGAAGGAAATCATGAAACAAAAATCAATGAAAACGATAGCTGGTTATCTAAAAATATCAATGAACCAAAAAAAACCCAAACAAACAAACAAACGCCCAGCCAGACGACATAAAAAGATCAGTATCATAAATAAAAGAAAACATATTTTTATAGACTCCACCAGACATCAAAAAGGATCAGAAGGAGGAGGCAGGCAAATTGTGAGTTCAAGACCATTCTGAGATACTTAGAAAGACTGTTTCAAAAACAACAACAAACAAGAAAAGATACGGGAATATTATAAACAACTCCACCCATATAAATTTATCAACTAAGATGTGGTGTTTTCTAGATAACCATAGGCTACCAAAATGCAAGATTATATAATTAGCATGGATAACCCTGACTAGCAAAGAAACTAGATTTATAGCTAAAACTATGCCAAAATATCTCTATGCTTAAAAACTTTTTTTTAAATGAACTTTAAAGACCAATAGAGTCTATAAAAACCTCTTTTAGGGGTCAGCAAGAAGGCTCAGCGGGGAAAGGCGAGCCTGGCGACCTGAACCCTAACCCCAGAAAGGATATAAAGGTCAAAGAAGAGAGCTGACTCCACAGAGCTGCCCTCTGACCTGCTCATGCACACTTTAGCATACATGCACCATCCTCACACCATACATATCACACACACACACACACACACACACACACACACAATAAATTACATTTATAAGAGAAATGAAAACGGAGAACAAACAGCCTTCTTCTCACTTCCCAAAAGAAACAAAACAAAACAAAACAAAACACAAAACACCTCTCTTGGTTAACTGGAAATAGAAGAGAAGTTCCTCATTTTGAAAGGACATCTACAAAAACTGACAAGCAACAGCATACTTGATTTTTAAAATCTGAGCTTCTTTTTTTCTAAAGATCAAGAATGAGAAGAGATTTTTTTCACTCTTACCTCTCTGTTTACGTACTGTGCTGAGAGTTCTAGCTAGAACAATAAATTGGTATGTAAGTGAAGAGGCAGATAGAAGGAGAAACTGTCTAATCCGGCTTCAGACAACTTGGTTACTTATGTATAGAATCTCAAGGAATATACAAAGCAACTCTAGAGCCAGTAACTGAATTTAGCAAGCTTGTTGAATACAAGATTAATACATAACTATTAGTCATATTTTTACGAATTGGCAATAAACAAATAAAAACTGAAATTTACAAAGCACTATTTATAATTAATCAAAAGCCAAATTATTTGCATATAAAGGCAACAAAACACACAGCTTTTCTGTACCAAAGAAATATTGGAGTTGGAGAGTTGGCTCAGAGAGTAAGAGCACTTGTTTTTGCAGAAGACCCAGGTTCAATTCTCAGGACCTATAAGGCAGCTTGTAACCATCTCTAACTCCAGTCCCAGAGGATCTGAAACCTTCTTCTGACCTTCAAGGACTGAGGCACATACAGGACACACATAACGGAATGCAGGCAAAACACACATAAAATAATAAACTAAATGTTAAAAAAGAATTGTGGGCCAAAGAGCTCAAAGACTAACTAATGGGAATATATATCATGTCCTTCAGGTTAGAAGAGTGAACATCATAAACATTAACAGTCCCAAAAGTTGTGTATTGATATAATGGATTTTCAATAAAGTGTCACACAAATATATTGCAGCTACTGACAGGTTCATATAAAACTTATCTAGAAAGGCAAAGAACAATCTTGAAAGACCAAATCAGTTTTGAAAAAGCAATGCTGGAGGAGTCACATTACTGAACTGTAGTGTATCACAATTGTACAGCAACGTGCAAGAACAGGGTAATGTAGGACATTTGACATAGAGAGGATACATACACCAACAGAATAAAATATACAGTCTGAAAGTCAACTCAGACAAATAGATCAGTTATTTTTTGACAAAGGTTTGCAAGTTTTGACAACAGAGAGTGGATAATCATCTCAACAAATGGCATTTAAATATTTGGACACCATACTGAATCTTGACATAAACTTTATATGTTATACAGAAATGAATTCCAAATGGGTTGTATATGTAAATGAAAAACACAAAACTCTAAACTTTTAGGAGAAAATGCATGAGGAAAACTTTATGGTCTGTGGTTCAGGAAGATTTATTACACATACATAACAGTGATAGTATAACCATGAAAGAAAAGAAAATTGATAAACTAAACATCAAAATGGAACCCATCCACTCTTATGAAAGACACCATTAAAGAATAAAACATATAAGCCAGTCAGTGATGGTGCATGCCTTTAATCCCAGTACTTGGGAGGCAGAAATAGGTGGGTTTTTATATGAGTTTGAGGTCAGCTTGATCTATAGAGTGAGCTCCAGGACAGCTGGAGCTACACAGAGAAACCCTGACTAGAAAAAACACACAAACAAGCAACCCCCCCAAAAAACAAAACAGAAAACAAACAAACAAACAAAAAACCAGAATAAGACCTATTACAGTGTAGGTTTTTATATTCTCAAATAATATTTCTGACAAATTAAATACATCCAGAATATTTAGCTCTCAATATTCAACAACCCAATTTAAGTACAGAGAAAAGACTTCAGAAGAACAGAGAGGAACCAAAGTAATGAAATTTGTCACCGCTATATAGAGGGACACTCAAATTAAGACCACCAATGGGATACCAGTGTGCTTCTATTTCGATGTCTAAAATTGAGCGGAAAATACGGTCCCATGTTTGGGAATGAGCTCATTCTACCTACTGTTCTGTGTTAGCAAAATGCCTGAGACAATCGACGTGGAATGAGAAAAAGTTCATTTTGGCTCAGAGTTTCAGACGTTTCATTCCATGGCTACGTGGGGGGTGTTTTGGACAGCAGCTGCACAGTGGATAGACTTTGTCCTGATATTCTCCTTGGGGTTGCCCCTCAGTAACTTGATAACGTCCTTCCACTAAGCCCCGCCTACTGAACTAGGAGACATCACCACCCACAGTCTAACGCTCCCAGCTTCATTCACAATGCTCCGGACCCCGCATCTTCCTCATTTTAAACAGGCATTCCATGTCTGCACCTGCTTCGCTCTTGCTTGCCATGGTTTCTATCTGAACTTCCCATGGCTGGTTGTTTCCTCTCATTTGGGTATCTGACCTAAAGTCCGCCTGTGCCCTGATCCCACCCGTGTCACGTTGTTTCACGGTTTCCACAGCGTTCTCACACCTTTCCCTCAAATGGTCACATGGGTTTACTTCTTCATGGTCCACCAACTTCCACCAGAGCAGTAAGCGAGCTCCAAGGAACAGGAGCTACCTTGGCTTCTGCATCCCCATGTCTGAATCACGTCTAGCAAATATTAAGCCCTGGGAAAGTGTTTCTGGAATTAGCTAAACCAACTAACTGTACATTATATTAAGGAACTGGTGTCCAGTTGCCAAGGTTGGGCTTCAGGAAAGAGCCCATCCATGTGAGCCCATAGTGTGCTGTTAAGAGACTTGAGTCCTTTATTTTCAACTCCTGCTGACCTCCTCATTGGGGCCTCCTCAGTTACTGCTATCATTGCCAAGACATAGCTCATCTATTCCCCATGCTTTAGAAACCTAGCAACGGTGGAACGTGACTTAAAGTCACGCAAAAAAAAAAAAATCTGCACGTAAATCATGATTTAAAACAAGAGCACAAGGAATTCTATTTGCAAAGGGCTTACTCGTTTCTTTAAACAGTCTTCTCCTCAGCTTGGAAAGGCGATCCCCCCTTCCACAGTACAGGGTGCAGGCGTGAATAAACACTCCGGGATGGGAATGGGGCCCGCGAAGGAGGATAGGCGGTGTCTGGGGACATTCTGAGGGTCTCCAGGGCAGATTGCTGGCCCGATTTCTTCCAGGCGGCAGTGATTACTCCTCTAGTTCCTCAGTCTGAGCCCACCCTCTGCCCACCAGGAGACCTCTCTCAGAACTCACAGCTTTCATGTCCTGCAGCTGTAGCCTCCTCGTCTGTCCCTTCAGGCTTTGGCACCCTGGTCAGACTCCTCCAGGGCCCGGTGGCCGCACCCCTCAGGTCGGCCCTCAAGGTCCTGGCCGCCTGGAGCATCAGCTCCCTTGCTCCGTGGCCCCGGCTGCTCTTGGGGTTCATGGCCACCTTAGCTGTGAAAACTTCACCAGGGTGCGGGCCGGACTGAAAATGCACCCTGCAGAAGCTGGGTTGAGATTGCTCTCTTGGGGCAGGTGGCTAGGCACAGGCCTTGGTTCTCCAACCCTGCCCTGGCTTGGACTGGTCTGCGGAGGCCACCCTTAGGTGTGGCATATCAGGTACTAGGGTTTGGCTGTCCACAAAAGTAAACAGTTCTAGAAATCTACGAGCCCTCAGAAACTCCGAGTTCATACTCCACCACTTCTTTGCATGATTTAAAAATGTCTGGCTTTGATTTATAGTCAGTGCTTACTCACTACTGGAAATTCAGTATTAAATACTTCCTAACTGGGTTTTCAAAATTTCCTCTTGGAAAATAAAAAAATGACCCAATTTCTCATTTGGTAATCATGAAATCATCCACTTTCCTGGCTGAGTCTGTTAAAAACTGAAACAATATAGAACCAAGTCCAACAAATCCCGACTCACCAAATAAACTTCAAATAAAAGAGGCAATATGACTTTAGTGTTCTATTATGAACTTATGAGATATTTCATTTTAATGTAAATTATATAATATTAAGACCGCAAAGATGGCTCCGTGGTTAAGAGCTCTTATTGCTCTTCAGAGGACTAGGGTTCGCTTCTAGCACTAACTTTGAGTGGCTCACACCTCGTCTCTCTCATTCTGTTAATGCTCTCAACAAGAAAAAAAAAGTTGCTGGGCAGTTTTTAATCCCAGCACTCGAGAGGGAGAGGCAGGAGGATCTCTGTGAGTGTGAGGCCAGCCTGGGCTACAGAGCGAGTTCCACAGTCAGGGCTACACTAAGAAAACCTGTCTCGAAAAACAAACAAACTGAAAGCACTGATTTTTTGCTCTACACTCTTCTAGAAATGGCGTGAGGCCCACCCGCCTCCAGCATGGGACACAAGACCCGAAGCAATACATGGAGGCAGCTTTTCTTCTTGATTCTCCTCAGAGCGTGGACAAGATGCAAGCTATGAAGCATCACGTGATGCTGTCTTTTTCAAACAGCAAATGAATTATCTCAGTGTGCTGATGTGTGGCTGGATTTTATTTTTACCTTTCTGACTCTTTGGGGGGCCCTCCACCCAGCTCCCAAATAAATCACACGGAGGCTTATTCTTCCTTATAAATGCTTGGCCTTAGCTTGGCTTCTTTCTAGCCAGCTCTTCTTAAATTATCCTGTCTACCTTTGCCCCTGGGTTTTTATCTTTCTCTATTCTATATTCCTTCCTTTACTTCTTACTCCAAGGTTTGTTGTGTAGTCTGGTCCTGGAGTCCGCCTCTCCTCCACTCATTTCTCTATTCCCTCTTCCCAGATTTCTCCTATTTATTCTCTGCCTGGCAACCCTGTCTTTCCTTTTTCCTGCTTAGCTACTGGATGTTTAGTTCTTTGTTAGACCAATCATGTATTCTAGGCAGGGAAAGTAACACGGCTCCATAGAGTTAAACAAGTGTAACATAAAAGAATGCAACACATCCTTGCATCTTTAAACATATATTCCACAGCATAAACAAATGCAACACATCGTAAAATAATATTTCACAGCCAGGGAAGCTCTTCCCCTTCCTGTTGCTCCTCTGGTATCATCTGCTGCACGGCGTTCAGCTTCTAACACTCTCTCCCCAGAACGAACTCTCTTCCCCACCCCTTTCAATGCTTTTATTCAACGATTTCAACTTTCATATAATTAAAGTTCAGGCTGTCACTTCTTTCAAAGAAGGTACTCTAATCACTCGATTCTAAAATATTATGAACACCACCCCTCCTCTCTCTCATTTCCTTTAGCTGCTCTTTCATCTATGGTAGTTGTCAGACAGAACAGATATTATTTAGTATGTATCTAATATTAAACATCACAAAGACAGGAGGTTTCTCAGGCTTTCTCCCCTGCTGTACCTCCAGTGCCTTACACTTTTTCCAGGCTTGAGACCAATTTGTCAAATAAATACGAAAACAGTTCTACCAGGGAACAGCTGCCTGTGTTCAGTCCCGACAGCTTTCATTTCTCTCCTAACAGAAGGTTGGCTGGGAAGGCTACGTGTGGCTCGAACAGCTATCAACGAATGTGTCCTAGCCTCAACCACAAACATACTTAAAATATTTTGAAATTTAAAACACTATTGACAAACTTTTTTTTTCCATTTCAAGTGTGTGGTGTGTATTCATGTATACAAGTTTCTCACCTGTTAGGTGCATGTGGAGGCTGAAGTTGATGTTGGGATTTATCCTGGATTGCTTTCTTGCCTTATTGAGGCAGGTCTCTCAAATCCTGGGCTCACAGGATATCACTCAGGGAAGCTCCTGTGTCTGACTCCTGAGGCTGGAATCATAAGCAGGCCACAGGCCGACCTGGCATTGATATGCATTCTGGGGACCAAATGCCAGTTCTCATACTTTTATTAGCCGCTAACATATCTTCTCAGCCGCCATAGAAAGATTCTTTTTTTTAAATTATGTATACAATATTCTGTCTGTGTGTATGTCTGCAGGCCAGAAGAGGGCACTAGACCTCACTACAGATGGTTGTGAGTCACCATGTGGTTGCTGGGAATTGAACTCAGGACCTTTGGAAGAGCAGGCAAGGCTCTTAACCACTGAGCCATCTCTCCAGCCCCCCATAGAAAGAATCTTAAGTGTGCACTTTGAAGCTAACATCATGTTTCTGTCTCAAAGGGTCTGGACATGCCTGGGTATGTTTAAATTTACAGAAAGAGAAGAAGAGGAAGAAGAAAAGAAAAGAAGAGGAGGAGGAAGAAAAGGGAGGAGGTAGCATTATTTATTGATTGCTGTATTCTCTGGTCAGAAGTGGTCCCCTAGAGTCCCACTTCACATATTTACCTCGTAAGAATCTTACCTTCACTGAGGAAAAACTGTAGCCTGAGGCTGATTCTTCTTCTTTCTTGTGAGTAAAATGTTTTAAGAAAGTCTGGAAACTGGTAGGCCAGGGCTGCCATGGTAACTACGAAAAGTTTCTGCGTACCATTAAACCTCTCTGCCGACACAATAACCCAAATCAGACCAAATGAAACCAATTTAGAGAGAGCCCAGGTCTAATGGATACTAGCGCTCTCAGGTGGCCTTCCAGGTGGTCAGAGAGGAGATGGGGAAGGAAGATTGGAAAACCACGTTTGTTCTCTGGGGGGCAGTTTAAATACCCTGTGGGAGTGGTCTTGAGCATCTCTGGGAAGGGGTCACCATTTGGCGGGCTTTCTAGGAGGAGGAGTCTGGGCTGAGGCAACTCCCAGCGGAGGAGGCTTGGGATGGACCTTCCCACTCAAACATTCCAGACTCTTTGGGTATATGGGTGCCAGGGTCTGGGGTGACACTTCCACCCAAACAAACTCTAGTCTACCAGGTTCTCCAGAGCCAGGCCCTCTAGCCTGCTACTCTACTGTTCCCACGGGTACCCCCAACTCAGGTGCAAAATATCTGTGTCTGCTTCCAGGAAGAGGGGCAGAGGGGAGAAACAGGGAGTCAAAGGACACTAGAGCTTCCATAAGAGGAAGGTTCTAGCATACTGCACAAGGCTTCCTCACACAGTCCACTGTCTAACCTTCAGTCATGCACCTAGACCTTGCTGCAAGGGTGTGTGTTGCAAGAGTAAGAACGCGAACCGCTCTGCTGGACTCAGGGGATTCCCTTTGAGACGCTGGACATTTGCTTCTGCTCGCTAGCAAAAGGCCGTTAGTGCTGTGCCAGGCCGTCACAGTTGGGAATCAGATGAGAAACAGCCTCACATTTCTGCCAGCCTGCAATCACAGAGCGACTGATCCACAGTCACCTTAGAGACCACGAGTTCTCCTTCTGGTGTGTGCTCTGTTGCTGGGTGTCTAGAATGCTTCCCAAGGCCCGCTGACTCTCCCCCACCAAGTGGGAATTTTTGTTCTTTAAAAATACAATGTTAGGGTGACCGCAGCCGCTAGTCAAGGCAGAGACGGCTAGACGGTGCAGATTCCCCCGCGGTGAGCGGCAGAGCTGGCGGGAGCACGTGCTGGACAGGCTGGTACAGCCATGCGGCCGGGTGACCAGGTGGCGGATAAAAGCCTTACAGGACATAGTAAATAGACGTAAGGTTAAACATAAAGGTGAACATTTATTACTTAAAGAAGAGGGAGAGAAAGAAAGGCAGGAATAGAAGGGGGGGGAGAAACACATGTGTACACGCAAGAGAGGGAACAGAAGGAATGTTAAGATGGTGATGATGGAGAGGTCAGAAGTGGCTGGGAGTGGGTGTGGCTTGCCCCTTAAAGGGACCAGACCAAAAGAATAACAGGAATGCTTTTCAATAGGCGCAAAGGTCCCTTCAGGAAAGCATGCCCTTTTGTCTGGGACTAATAACTGCTTCAAGTTTCCCTTTCTTCTTGAAGCCCCTGAAGCATATTCACTGTGGTTTTCTGTGTGGCTCACTGCTTGCCAGATTGTAGGCTAGTATTAGGAGTGCATGACTGACCTTACAAGGCAGGTACCTTCTACTTGTTATTAAGAGCTATCATCACATTTCCGGGAAGTTTGACTGGTTAACATTATATAGTTTGTGCCAAGGTGGGAATACTGTACCACAGTTTCCACACAGACACACAGAACATCACTAACTCCTCCCTTGCCATTCCTCTCAAACTTGCAGAGTTAACAGCTTTTAAAGAAAAAGCAACTCAATGTGACATTTTGAAAACACTTTTTGTGGTCAATCTTTGGAAAGGCACTCGAGTTGACAGGGGAAGCTGAGGAGACAGTTGGGGTGTCAGTATGTAGACAACTGGTAAAGCTTCATAGAAGGAGAGAAATGGATCTTTCCAAAGGGCTCTAGAAGGGCAACTGGAATTTGCTAACATATTTGGGGTTGACAGAGTAGAGTCGGAAATTGGGGGGATGAGCTCACACGGAGCCCATGATGAATAGTGATATTGAAAATGAGGACAGCGGGTGCTGATTGCTAGCTTTCTCTTGATTCACCTCCCATGTTCTTACACTGGGCACTGCCTACATTCTCTGGGCATGAAGCTCCTTCTTTAACCCGGCAGTGCAGCTCCTACCATGTCAGTGTGGGAGCTCTGTCTCTTGAAGATCGCGCTTCAGTA